GACATTTGTAACAGAACATTTGAGCAGCATGTGTCTCAAGTTCCTCATTTTACTCACAAGAATGGCTTTTCTGCAGCTCATCAGTTTGCTTCGACAGGTCTTGACGACTAGTTTGAAGAACTGTAATGGTTAGTGAAAAGAAAAAGCATAGGCGTGAAGAAATAATTTTGTTTGTGTCTCATTACATGTATTCTTGTTTTGCTAATAAAAAAATTTAGAGTAAAAGTTAAAGAGATTTACATTTCTCAAGTGTGTCCCTCTCAGCAGTTACATTGTCACATGGGCTCATGTCGATGTCTGGAGGAAGGTCTACAAATCCAAAAGTGATTTATTTCTTTGTGGCTGTGATTATTAATATTGTTTTACATTATGTGACTCACAGAGACGTAAATAAACATTGAGAGAAGCTTGTATGATGCACAGAAGACCAAAGCTGATGCAGACCAGGAGAATCCATTTCCCTACAAACATAATGTTAAAGATCAGAGAGGAAAGAACATTTTAAATTCCTATATTATACAAATTGACTTTGTGAGCTTTAAGCCATGTTGTTTCCTCATTATAAACATACTTAAAGTTGTGTTTTGTTTCATTCACACACAGGACAGCACCTTTGGGAACAGGCTGCTGTCCCACACACATCCCTTTAACTGATAAAAGCAAAAAGGATGAACTGCTATGTTGTTATGTTTGTTTCATTGTTGCTACTGCCGAAATTTTAATTTCCTCAATAAAGTCTCTATCTGTGTTTGAGTGAACCTGAATTATTAATTTACATCTCCAAAGCTCCAAATGCTCTGTTCCACCTGGTGATGTCGTGGGAGTTTTCATCTTAACAGCTTTTACCTTTAGTTCATTAGAGACTGACAATTCCAGGTCTGAAATCATCCAGTTTTACTCAAGTGAAGGTGTATGGAGATTAAAAAACACAGTGGGGCTCTACCTGGATTACCACATGACATCACAAGGTGGAACAGAGTGTTTTCAATTTGAGAGAACTCAGCTTAAATATGCAGCATTTGTGTGTGTTAAATATGTGTGAATGCAACAGAACACAACCGTGTGTTTTTTTGATGAGGATACAACATTATAACAGATCAGAAAATAGAGTAATATGGGCCTTTTAAATAAAGTCTTACCTGGTTCGGTGGCAGTCTGTGAATCAGAGACACTTCCAGAGTTTCTCCTGTTCCTTTTGACATGAACCCTGTGCTCCTCCATCTTCTCTCTGCAGACTCAGGTCTGATATAAATGTGAGCTGGAGCTCTACAGCACAGATCTTTGATGCATTACTTGTGAGAAACATATTACATATGTGTTTCTCATGTGGTTTTTTCTGGTTCCTCATTTCTCGTTTCTAAGTAGATAGTGGCATTCAGCAGTACATTACATCACTCTGAGAGGTGCATGCTACAACAGACCTAACAAGAATCATTTTCAGTATCTCCTTAGACAAATGAAAGTTCAGTTATCATTATTGTTTTTCAAAAGGGCCAATGACTTTTTATTTTTACTTTATCATTTGAATGAACAGGTCTTGTGACTAATGTTTTGCACCTGTTATCTTGCATTTTAAAATGTTTAAAATGTATGTATGCTTTAAATAAATAAATTAATTAATAAGATTATAGAAATAAATATACAAAAGCATGATACAAAACAATACACAACAATTTCACAAACCTGATGTGATGGAAGTAGTTCCATTATAAAAGGGGGAGTGACTTGATTTGAATAGCAAGTGGAGGAGGGACTTAGAGCAACAAACACAAAACAACATTTCAAATTTCAGGTCTGCCTTTGATTCATGTGGCTTTCATTATCACTGGAACATTGACAAATTCCATCAGTTTTTATCTAACAGAAACTCTTTCAAGGTTCAAACTGTTGAATAAAGTTTCAGCAGTTGCTGTCCCTACAGGGACACTACAGTGTCCGTGCGTCAGCAGTGTACACTGTTGTTGATCAGGTGCTTTAATCCTGCTGTTCAATCTGTGCTGGAAAGCACTCTGCCATTTCCATTTGCGGGGTTCTCTTGTGTAACAAAAACTGCTTCTCAAAAGTGAGTGTGAAAGGAGGAAGGAGAAGAGGAAGAGGAAGGGGGTATTTAAGTCTGTCTAACTCGCCCTAGATTTCACAATGACTTTTATTAGACAGCAAAGTGAAACAAAGTGGAACAGTTAATGGTGCTTTCACTTCTTACTTCTGAGTTAAAGAAAAATAGTTTATTGTTATCTACAGAGAGCAAAAAATGTTCTGCTTTTACAATATACCTTTTAGGTAGAAACAATACACACACACACACACACACACACACACACACACACTGGTCAGATGAACAAACTGCATTTCAATGCACTGTACTGTTTTTGTGTTTTTTTTGAGACAGGGACAGCACATAATTCTTACATTAACCTTAACAGGAGAGATGCATTGTACCAGGTTGTAGCACCAGTGCTAATTTCCACCTGTAGTCCCTGGGCAGTTTCAGTGATTGATTGTATTTAACTGACCTTGGCTATCAGCTATTCTTGGGTTGATGGGGGAAACCGGAGCGCCCGGAGGAAACCCATCCAGACACAGGGAGAAACACGTAAACTCTACACAGAAAGGCCCAGGGTGTTTGAGTAATCCTTTAATAATAATAATCTGTCTACATCAGCAAAGCTCAAAATGCTCTGTTCCACCTTGTGATGTCATGTAGTGATACCTTTTACTTTTTGTTCAGTTGTGATGTGCAATTTCAGGGCTGAAGGTATCCAAATGATTCTAGTCAAGCTGTATGGAGTTTAAAAACACAGTGGAGCATGTTTGGTATTACCACATGACATCACAAGGTGAAACAGAGTTTTCTGTTTGAGAGAAGACCTCAGTCTAAATGTAAAGGATTTGTGTTAAACATTATGTGTGAATGAAATAAAACACAATTTGTATGAATGTATGTATGTATGTATGTATGTATGTATGTATGTATGTATGTATGTATGTATGTATGTATGTATGTATGTATGTATGTATGTATGTATGTATGTATGTATGTATGTATGTATGTATGTATGTATGTATGTATGTGTATGTATGTATGTATGTTGTGTATGTATGTATGTATGTATGTATGTATGTATGTATGTATGTATGTATGTGTATGTATGTATGTATGTATGTATGTATGTATGTATGTATGTATGTATGTATGTATGTATGTATGTATGTATGTATGTATGTATGTATGTATGTATGTATGTATGTATGTATGTATGTATGTATGTATGTATGTATGTATGTATGTATGTATGTATGTATGTATGTATGTATGTATGTATGTATGTATGTATGTATGTATGTATGTATGTATGTATGTATGTATGTATGTATGTATGTATGTATGTATGTATGTATGTATGTATGTATGTATGTTTGTATGTATGTATGTATGTATGTATGTATGTATGTATGTATGTATGTATGTATGTATGTATGTATGTATGTATGTATGTATGTATGTATGTATGTATGTATGTATGTATGTATGTATGTATGTATGGTTGTATGTATGTATGTATGTATGTTGTATGTATGTATGTATGTATGTATGTATGTATGTATGTATGTATGTATGTATGTATGTATGTATGTATGTATGTATGTATGTATGTATGTATGTATGTATGTATGTATGTATGTATGTATGTATGTATGTATGTATGTATGTATGTATGTATGTATGTATGTATGTATGTATGTATGTATGTATGTATGTATGTATGTATGTATGTATGTATGTATTTATGTATGTATGTATGTATGTATGTATGTATGTATGTATGTATGTATGTATGTTGTATGTATGCGAGGAAACAACATTGATCACTTTATCACTTTTATGGATCACTTTGAGGACGACATTTGTTCAATAGCTGTTTAACTTGAAATAACTTTTGTTTGTTGTTACAGTTTTTTCAATTATTTCAGTTCCTATAAAATCAACATTTTATAAAGAGAGACAAAGACATTGATTTTGATAAATCTTTGCAGTCTTTAAGGTCCTGCATAAATATACACTGAAAACCAAAACAACCTTTCTGCGTTGAATTGACAAAATTTTCTCGCGTCATTGTCACAAATATGTTTTGTTTTGAACAAAATGTTGTCTAAATACACAAGAACATAAAGAGCTGTCACAGTGAAAGAGACACAAGTGTCTGAGACTTGTGTTCATATTAACCCACTCTACACATGATCCTGATTTTTTTTTTTTTTTCGCTACTTTGTCCATCAAAAAAAAAATCCTATTCATAACATAGAGCCTGACTACAGATTCACTCCTGTAACCGTGAGCATCAGGAGCCTCATTTTAGCAGCTCTAAAACATTATGGGTGATGTCACACTCGCTTAGTCCACTTCTTTTATACAGTCTATGGCCACACCACGCCTTCAGTCTGCTCTGCTTCACCTGATATTTAGCCACGCCACACACCAAGCCTGTATTGTGCCTGGTACCCACAGGCATGGGCAGGTAGTGATTACACACGGGTGGGTCAGGTAAATCAAATGAATGATGAAAAAAGTGAAAAGAAAAGATAAGTGCAGTTTTCCCGGTCTTTTCCTGGAACAATGGCAGACCAAGTTGAGAGAGTGACTTTAGTGTATTTATTACATATAACTGATCAGCGGAGGTGATCAGCTCACCGCCTGTGCTCCTGGTTTAGTCCGGGACTATTGGGCTGTCGGACTAATGGGCTGACCCTGATTTATCACGGGCACAGTCGAGTAACATGTGAAATGTTAACGGGTCCAGGCAGGTACAGATTTAACTTTGATATAATCACGGGTTAACAAGCGAGTGTGGTGCTGGACTGTGCAGTTTACTTTTCTAGAGTTTTTCTAATAAAATAAATTTGTCTCTGTTTCATTTTAACCACCAACCACAATATAAATCTTACGCATATTTTTTTCATGTGATATTTTTACTTTTTGAGGGGGGCTCCAGTACAACTACTACTACCACTGTGATGAAACACACACACACACACACACAATGTGGATAAGTCATATTATGTATGAGTAAATATTGAAATAAACCTTAAAATGTCAGTCTCTTTTGGCAGATACACAGAAGCTTTTCAGTACAGGATTCATCATTCCAGGTGTTCCCGGTGCCTCTGAAGTTGGTTTCAACACAGAACTCATGATTGTCTTTGTTATTTGGCTCTCCACTGTACCAAAATCTGAAAGTCATTAAATAAGAGTTTAAAATCACTTCTGAAACTCAGTGTTGGTTTAAAATGCTGCTGTGTGAACCTTGTGTTGAGCTGAGAGCCGTCCACCCATCTCCACTTTCTACGTTCAGACTGGGTTGCAGTCAGTCCAATCCATCGGCGCCCGCTGAATGTACTCGCAAATGTCTGTAGAAACAGTAAAAGCCACATTCAGGGATCTGAAGGCGTCAGCTGTGAGAAACAAGCATTTAACCTAAATAAAACAAGCCTCGTTTCTCTGGGACTCGCACACCAAACTGGAGAGTGAGTTTTGATACGACAGGCTCTGTGCACAACAGCACCAGTTAGCTCCGGTCTCTGGGGACTCTATGGTTTTGCAGAGCATAAATAGTGACAGGTCACACAGTGGACCGCGAGCTGTGGGTGGATGACAATGACATGTGAATACTTCACCAGGAGACACTCATGTTAAGAAAGGTAAATCTTTGTGTCTTAATGCAAATTTTTGAGACTAGTACATATCAACAAACTGAAATAAGCTACTCAAAAAAATATCCAGGTCGTCTTTGCTACATATTTCATTACATTTGACATTTGAATAGAAGTTATCATTTGCATCAAGCTTAATCTTCTCACAATAAACACACATTTTATGTTGTGACATCCTTTGTGGAAACAGTGTGGTGTTTAGCTCCAGACCTGCTCCTGGACACTTGTGATGATGATGAGATCTGCTCCTCTCTGCTGACAGTACTGCCGGCTCTGCTCCCAGCTCTGTGCTGTGGTGGAGCCCAGGTACACACTGCCTTGGAAATACACCCAACCTTCAGATGCGTAATTATCTGAAAATAGAAATGATACAGACACTGAAATGAGACTAAACTGGGAGCCTAAAGTCCACCACACACTTCAGGATCTTTGAGTGATTTTTAAACGTGAAAATAAAAGTGAAGACCAGACATGAGGAGAAAAGATTTAAAATCTTACTATTTATCTCTTTATTATTTCTCAAATGTAGTTCAGAAAATGTTTTCCACAAATAGAAAGCTGTGGATTTATGGATTTATGTAAACATGACACGTGTGAGGAACTGCGCTCACCTGTATCACCTCTTGTATATTGCTGAGATATTTTTACTACTTATTTGTATTTGATTTTATTGTTACTTGCACATATAGATTTATATAATTATGTCTTATTTGACACAAGTCTCTTGCTATTTTTGCTACTTATTTAGTATTTATTATTAGCATTTACTTTTTTTTTCTCTTTGTCATTACAATATTGTGATTTGTGAGCTTCTGTGCCCAAGTAATTTCCCTTGTGGATCATTAAAATTTATCTAAGTCAAAGATTGTGATGACGATATGACGGAGGTGCTCAGTCGCACTGACTCCACACACGAGGAGCACAGGGGCCCATGCCTCCCTGAAGTCTGAGAGAAGCAAATAATCCTGTAGTGTTCATCCGTCTGAAGGATTTGTGCAGGACTAAAATAAGACCAAACCAAATTTAAACTGGGTCTCCAACTGGGCCCAAACCAGAATCAACCCAGACTTACTAACTTCATTATATTCTATCTGTTTTTATGGCAGCCTCTTAGATTCACTAGAGCAGACTTCTACTCACCTATGTCCTGCAGTCTTCGCTTCAGTTTTTCTCTTTCTTCAGCTAGCTCTTGGGTCCTGGTTTCAAGCACTGCAAAATTAAAAAAAATTAAGTAAATGCATTAAATCCAGTGTCTCAGACAAGGGTATGTATCATGTTCTCTTTTAACCGTGTTTGTAAACTAATGTGGCCTATTGTAAAAAGAGGCTGTCCTCTTTTTGAAACTGGCCTCCCATTTTTGTCCTTCACTTTCTCCAGGGTAATTTGGAGCTTGGTTTTTGTCCATCTTTGCAGAGAGCTCCTTGTGAAAAACACGTCCGACTGTGATAAATGAATTTCTCTCTTTTTTTTTTTTTTTTTTTTTTTTGATGTGAAGCTTGTGCAGTGGGTTCGCTGTGTTCATGGCTGAATAGACATTCACTCACATTCACATCAACAGTGGCAGTTTACTTACAGGACTGATGTTTCTCCAGTTCATTTCTTGAGCTGGACAGAGATTGCTGACACTCTTTGAAGGCTGAAAAAGGGCACAGTGTTTGTAACAGAACATTTGAACAGCATGTGTCTCAAGTTCCTCATTTTACTCACATGAATGTCTTTTCTGCAGCTTATCTTTTTGCTTCGACAGGTCTTGGCGAGTAGTTTGAAGAACTAACAATAAGTGAAAAGAAAAGGTATAGGTGTAATTAAATAATTGAGTTTGTTTTCATTACATATATTCTTGTTTTGCTAATTAAATGTTTGAGAGTAAAGGTTAAAGAGATGATGTATAATTCCATTTACGTTTCTCAAGTGTGTCCCTCTCAGCAGTTACATTGTCACATGGGCTCATGTCGATGTCTGGAGGAAGGTCTACAAATCCAAAAGTGATTTATTGTCTTGTGACTGTGATTATTAATATTGTTTTACTTCATTATGTGACTCACAGAGACGTAAATAAACATTGAGAGAAGCTTGTATGATGCACAGAAGACCAAAGCTGATGCAGACCAGGAGAATCCATTTCCCTAAAAACAAAATGTTAATGATCAGAGAGGAAAGAACATTTTAAATTCCTATATTATACAAATTGATTTTTGTGAGCTTTAAGCCATGTTGTTTCCTCATTATAAACATACTTAAAGTTGTATTTTGTTTCATTCACACACAGGACAGCACCTTTGGGAACAGGCTGCTGTCCCACACACATCCCTTTAACTCATAAAAGCAAAAGGATGAACTGCTATGTTGTTATGTTTGTTTCATTGTTGCTACTGCCGAAAATTTTATTTCCTCAATAAAGTCTCTATCTATGTGTTTGAGTGAACCTGAATCATTAGTTTACATCTCCAAAGCTCCAAATGCTCTGTTCCACCTGGTGATGTCGTGGGAGTTTTCATCTTAACAGCTCCTTTTACCTTTAGTTCAGTAGAGATTGACAATTCCAGGTCTGAAATCATCCAGATTTACTCTAGTGAAGGTGTATGGAGATTAAAAACACATGACATCACAAGGTGGAACAGAGTGTTTTTGATTTGAGAGAAGAACTCAGCTTAAATATGCAGCATTTGTGTGTTAAATATGTGTGAATGAAACAAAACACAACTGTGTGTTTTTGATGAGGATACAACATTATAACAGATCAGAAAATAGAGTAATATGGGCCTTTTAAATAAAGTCTTACCTGGTTTGGTGGCAGTCTGTGAATCAGAGACACTTCCAGAGTTTCTCCTGTTCCTTCTGGCATGAACCCTGTGCTCCTCCATCTTCTCTCTGCAGACTCAGGTCTGATGTAAATGTGAGCTGGAGCTCTGCAACATAGATCTTTTGTGCATTACTTATAGGACAATGAAGTACGTGTTTTTCTTGTGGTTTTTCTGGTTCCTCATTTTTTAAAGTGAACAGTGACATTCAGCAGTACATTACATCAGTCAGAGAGGTGCATGCTACAACAGAACTAACAAGAATTACTTTCACTGCAGTATCTCCTTACACAAATTAAAGTTCAATTATCATGATTTATTTTCAAAACAATTTTCCTTTACACTCGTGAAAAGTTTCTGAAGAATTAGAAAGAATTACATTTTTGCTTTAGAAAGGAAATCCTCTTTTATGTTTATGTTTATTTATTTCGGACAGTAATACATAGAACATAAATTAAAAAACAAAAACAAAAAACTAAATAATAAAAAAAAAGACAAAAACGTAAATACATAGATATAACACAAAAAGTAACTATTTCTATTCTATAATAACAGGCAAAATAAATGTTATGCAGAATTTTAATGTGTCTCTTCAGATATTAAAAGACGTAACTTCCTCTTCAACAACTTGTAGTTGTATTTATAGAAAGAGGATGTGTAGAGTGTACTCAATTTAATCAACAAAACATAACCTAGGGTTGTGGTCAGGGCTGGACTGGGACAAAAAAACAGCCCTGGCACTTTTGTCTTAGACCGGCCCCTCATCAGCTGAGCACAACTGACTAATTTATGTATGTGTTCCTGGGGAATGCTAGCCTTGTTCACCTGGTGGCATTAGGATTTGTTCGCTCGACAGTAGGCAGGTACTTTTTTAATCTCTGCTATTTGGTCGTGACATATGTAATGCGCCGCTAATGGGGCAAACTACTATATTAAGTTTTTCCCAAATCCCGTAGGAAGAAGGGCCCCTTGATAAAATTCACCCCTCTCAATAATCTCTGGCTGCTCCTCTCTCTGTCCACTGCTGCTGTCTTCACTTTCAACACCCTGCACTGAGGAAATGGAGGCTACAGCAGCCCCTCCAGCCAATATGTCTGTTATTTTCACACACTTCGTAGCGTCTATAGCGAGATTCTTAAATCATTTAGACCACAACTTCTCTTTCCCCTTCTTCTGCTTAGCTTTCTTCATGTTTCAAGCCAGTCCAATCCAGTCTAGATAGACCAATGGGCCACCCCCTCTAAATTGTGGGCCAGTCTCTAAGTAAAAATGAAAAAAGAAAAAAAAAAAAAAACACACACAATGGCCCCTGAAGACTGTTGGTCCACTGGGAAAATGCCCAGTATGCCCGATTACCAGTCCAGGCCTGGTTGTGGTTATACTACTTAAATTTAATTAATAATTGTATTGTGAATGTTAAAAGTATGTCAATATTTTGTTTACAATTTCATAAACTTGACCTTTCTGTGTCCCCAGATACAAGATAAACATTTTCACCATTACATTATATTTCACCAAACACAAGATGGTGAAAGATCATAGTGCGGGGCGTTTATAGTGTCTCAAAGCCAAAGTGCGTAATAATAAATCCACATCCAGTCACAGCCTGCAGTGTCCGCGTCAAATTTAAGCCAAACATAATATGAACCAAAACTCCGCAAAAACCCTGCTCTTCATTAGTAAATATATCCAGCGTGGAGCGCGTGTGCGTAAAGATGTATCCAAACGAATCTGCGTAAAGTTCTCAATACTTCTCCTCCGTCCTCCTCCGCGTAGTAAAAGCGTAAAGTTATTCATCAAAATAAGAGCACATGCTCCATGCGCTGCCTTTTATATAAAGTGCCGAAAACGAGAAACAAAAGCGAAACTTAAGCGCAGGTCAGTCTTCGTGACAATCAGTTGTGCGTTTATTTGCGTGCGCATTTGGAGTTATACCTGAACCGTGTATAGTAGCCTACTCTGTTTTAAAATATGAATTAACATAGATATAAAGTTATTCAATGACTGAAAAGTATTTTCTTAATAATATTGGCCATTAATTTGCATAAAAACATAAATTGTAACTATACCCTTTGCGCACTTATGAAGAAAACTACTACATATCTCGGTCCTCTACTGTGGAGTTAGTTTGGACTGCTTAAATGTAGTGTCATTATCTGAACACACAATATCTGGAATGCCATGCCTAGCAAAAATAGATTTACAATGGTCAATAACAGTTTCGGAAGTGGTACGTGACAGTTTTGCTACTTCAAAGAACCTTGAAAAGTAGTCTACAATAAGCAAATATTGGTTCTTACCAAACTGGAACAGATCTGCACCTACTGCACACCATGGTCTGGAAGGAAGGTCTGTCTGTAACATTGTCTCTTTGTTGTGTACTCTCTCACGCGCACTTGTGACACAATTTTCAATGAGTTTTGTCAGTTCTTTGCTAAGACCTGGCCATCACACAGATTGTTTAGCTCGTTCTCTGCACTTTGTTATGCCTAAGTGGCCCTCGTGAAGTTTGTTCAGTATGTCTGATAAACGTGTGTCTCTGAGTCCGACCCCAAGACTGTCTCTGACCATCTCGTCATGTAGTAAGCCGTATCCACAGTGCTCAGCTAAACAATGCAGCGCGGTGATAAAGCTGTCAGCCGACTCGTCCATCTCTTGCTGCCACTGATTAAACTTAGCTCTTTCAAAAATTATGTTTCTGCGAGCTACAAAGTGAGCCTCAAGCTTTTGTTTGACTGTCTCGTACTCACTTGCTTGTTATGGACTGAGATGTAGGGAGACTAAAATATCCTCGGCTTCTTCCCCCATACTGTAAATCAGTGCTTTTACTTGATTTTCATCGGCTTGTGTTTCTAGACCTGACGCAATCCGGAATCTTTCAAAGCGTTTTATTCACTTGGTCCAATCTTCTGCCTTGAATGAAAACTTTTCCGGCGGCTTTACTTCATACTGTGCCATCTTCAATAGTTATTACAGGGCGGTAGATTATTTTATTTATTTATTATTATTATTATTTATTTTTTTTTACTTTTCGGATCTTCTCCGTCTGCAAGTCCCGCTCGTATTTTCGACTCTTCTCCACAAAGAGTAAATCATCAGCAGCACTTCTGACACCATGTTCTGGTCTAGATTTATGGGTTCATAATAGAGACAAGACAGAGCCGTGTTCCAGTCGAGACAGAACCATATTATTTTATTGTCCTCCCCCCAGGAACATATAACACACAAAATAGGTTCCTACCCACATATCACTACAGTGGTTCTTCTACTTAAATTAAATTTAATTAAATATTGTATTGTGAATGTTAAAAGTATGTCAATATTTTGTTTACAATTTCATAAACTTGACCTTTCTGTGTCCCCAGATACGAGCTAAACATTTTCACCATTACATTATATTTCACCAAACACAAGATGGTGAAATATCCTAGTGTTAGTAATATGCTAAAGCTACACAAGTGGAGATGAGAGTTTAAAGTCAAGAGGGTCTAAAGTCAAATCCACAGTGGCGTGCGGTCACGGCAATCAAGGCAAACAGTGGTTGGCCAATAAAATCTAAAGTCATCATGTGTCAAAAGTATAATTAAATTGTTAATTGAATTGAATTATATCCAAATAGTCCTGTTTTCCCTTCACTTTTGTCTGTTTGAAACATGGTAGACGTTAGAAATACAGGATGTCATTTAATCAAACAGGGAGCTAGTTTCAAGGTTAGTTCATGTGAAACAGAGGAACCACACAGAGCAGTGAAGCAGTGAAGGAGCAACAGTGTCAGTGGAATAACAGCACTATTAAACGCATGTGGAAGAACATGTGTCTGATCTGGACCGACTCCGCTTCAGGGACAGTTCTTCAACAAAGACGTAGTTTTGCATCAGTGAGAGGTGAGTTATAAAACGCTGTTTTAACGTGACGGAACGTTTGTTATTATTTAGTCTGTATTATAAGTGCATCTGTGTGATGAGTGCACTGTTGTTGTATCTCTTCATGAATGTACATTTTGTGTGATGCATTACATGCGTAGAGCTTTCATATGTCATTCATATGGTTTCTAGTAATAATAATAATTACATAGACAACAATAGTACTGAAGGCTCAGCTGGATAAATAAGGTGTACGAGCTGTGCAAATCTGTATAGACAAATATACAAATATTAATACACTTTGTAGGTCTAGGTTTCTAATTTAGTTTACTGATTTAGTAGATATATGTGTTTAATATGTCAGTAAAATAAATACTCATACTATAAAAAGTAGTCTTATTAAATTGTTAAAGGTTAAATATATATATTCACCATATATATTCACCCCAAGTCTGCTTGCCTTCCCATAAAAGTCACTGCGCTCTATTGCAAATGTGACACAGTGTGACACTGTGGTTCCTGCAGACAGACTTGAGTTCATGTGGGGATCTGTTCTCCAGGGTCTTTGTCCAAACACATCATGTCCATTTAACACTATTATGGACTGTTGGCGTAACACTATTGTATCACATAGAACCAAACCAAACATTTATTTTTTTTACTTTTATTTATTTTACATTTCTATACTGTCTGTAATAAAACAAACATTTTGTCTCTATTTCATTTTGACCACTGTATTTTTTTTTTTTTTTCATGTGATACTTTTGCTTTTTTTTGACTCCAGTACTACTACTACTACTACTACCACTGTGATGAAACACAGACACACAATGTGGATAAGTCATTTGATGTATAAGTAAATATTGATATGAGCCTTAAAATGTCGGCCTCTTTTGGCAGATACACAGACGCTTTTCCGAACAACTCAGGTCATTCCAGGTGTTCCCGATGCCTCTGAAGTTGGTTTCAACACAGAACTCAACATTGTGTTTGTTATTTGGCTCTCCACTGGCCCAAAATCTGAAAGTTATGAAATAAGTGTTTAAAATCACTTCTGAAACTCAATGTTGGTTTAAAATGTTGCTGTGTGAACCTTGTGTTGAGCTGAGATCCGTCCACCCATCTCCACTGTCTAGGTTTGGACTGGGTTGCAGTCAGTCCAATCCATCGGTGCCCACGAAATGTACTTACAAATGTCTGTAGAAACAGATAAAGCCACATTCAGGGATCTGAAGTCGTGAGCTGTGAGAAACAAGCATTTATCCTCAATAACACATGTCTCATTCCTCTGGGACTCACACACCAAACTGGAGAATGTGTTTTGATACAACAGACTCTGTGCACAACAGCACCCAGTTAGCTCCCGTTTTAGGATTGTGCCAATCAGTAAATACTGACAGATCACACAGTGGACCACGAGCTGTGGGTGGATGTCACTGACAACATGTGAATACCAGGGGACACTTCTGTTTAGAAAGATCGAATCTTAGTGTCTTAATGCTAATTTTAATATCTGTGACTAGTACATATCAAACACCACAAACAGTAATAAAATATCTATACAGAAAAATGATCAGGTCGTCTTTACCACATACAGTATTTCATGTTGTTGTTACGTTAAATTTGAATAGAAGTTAGCATTAGCATCAAGCTTAATCTTCTCACAATAAACACAAACATTTTATATTGTGACATCCTTTTGTGGGAACAGTGTGGTGTTTATCTCCAGACCTGCTCTTGGTCACTGCTGATGATGATGAGATCTGCTCCTCTCTCCTGACAGTATTTCCGGCTCTCCTGCCAACTCTGCTCTGTGGTGGAGCCCAGGTACAAACTGCCTTGGAAATACATCCAACCTTCAGATGTGTAGTTATCTGAAAATACAGATGATACAAGACACTAAAGATAGGGTGACCATATTTCCGTTTTTTTTTAGTGCAATTTTTTACAGCGTATGAATGCGTATTGTGTGTTACAGGCGGGTAGTAATTACACACGGGTGGGTCAGGACTAAACCAGGTCTAAACCAGGACTAATCTTGGACTTAAGAGAGAAAACGCCGAACAGTTTGTCCGCAAAGCGCGATCGGGCAACTGCTGCATTTAACTCCGTGAGGTGCGGAGCTGAGCCGGTCCTTTCTCTTGCAGTCACCTCCGAGCCCGTCCTGACAGTGCGGTCCTGTCCTGCGCGGTTGCATTGTTGTACTGCGTGGGTGCGGTGTTGTACTGGGGGTCTCCAAAAATGGATCCGTGCAGGACTCTGCGCTGTTGGGCTCCATTACGGAATAAATGAATCTTCAGTTTGTTACATAAAGAAGGAGGAAAATAACACAAGGACGACAGCAGCATCTCCCACTTGTCCCGACCGGGACGGAAAACGGAAATTTCTTGTACAAGTCATTGTTAATGCGCATTTGTGCTTCGGTATGTTTCAGACTGACCGACTGTTTGTGTCTCGCTCCTTCTGAGTCACAGACCGTTACGAGAGATGGTCAGTTTAATGCCCCCAGTGAACGGTACTGAAAACCCGGACATTTGCACCACTTAATAAAAAAAAAAAAACCTGGACGCCCCAGACAGGACGCAAAATACGGACATGTCCGGGGAAAAACGGACGTTTGGTCACCCTACTGAAGTGAGACTAAACTGGGAGTCTAAAACCCACCACACACTTCAAGATCTTTTCGTCTTAAATGATTTTTAAACATGAGACTAAGGGTGCACTCAAACTAGGACTTTAGAACCATGCCCAAGCACGGATCGCCCCTAAAGCGCTGTACGGTTGTCCAGTGTGAGCACAAGTGAACCAGTCCCAGGCACAGTACAGTTGGGACTTCAGCCTGGGTGGTGGAGGTGAGCAGAAGCAAGGCACGGTTGCTCATGTACGCTTACAGTACACACATGTCTATATGAGCCCTGTCAGATGTGCTGATATTACTCATACAAGGAAAACAGTGAATAATCCGCTCCAAAACACACAGTGAATCCACACTTACCGTAAGGGCTGTGACAGACAGACAGTTAACTGCCTCTCGTCTTCGGCTGTCATCACTGCTCCGCACTGTTTTCATATCCATAAACTTACAGAGGAGTGCATATCAAGCATGTATGTAAACAAACAGCGCCATGTGAGGACGTCATCGGCCGTGGCCCAGTTCGGTTGTTCATGTGTGAGTGCAGAACATAGAACCCTACACAGTCGTGCTTGAGCACGGCACGATTCTAAAGTCCTAATGTGAGTGCGCCCTAAAAGTGCAGACCAGACATGAGGAGAAGCTTATAAGACTTAAAATCTTACTATTTATCTCTAAATCTTATTATTTCTCAAAAAGTAGCTTAGAAAATGTTTTCCACAAACAAAAAGCTGTCTATAAACACACAGGAAGTATCACTATCTCTAATCTGCAGCATCTTCATCCACAGAGTGCATTTATGTAAACATTGCACACGTGAGGAAATACTCTCACCTCTATCACTGATAGTTTTTCCTTTGACCTCTTGTATATTGCGGAGATATTTTCACTACTTATTTCTATTTGATTTTATTGTTACTTGCACATATACATTTGTATAATTATGTCTTATTTGACACCAGCCTCTTGCTATTTTATTCATTATTAGCATTTACTATTTTTTCCTCTTTGTCATTGTAACATATTGACATTTGTGAGCTTCTGTGCCCAAGTAATTTCCCTTGTGGATCAATAAAGTTGATCTAAGTCTAAGTTTGTGGTGACGATATGACGGAGCCGCTCAGTCGCACTGACTCACACACGAGGAGCACAGGGGCCCATGCTTCCCTGAAGTCTGGGAGAAGCAAATGATCCTGTAGTGTGTGGTCCGGCTGAAGGACTAATGCAGGACTAAAACAAGACCAAAACAAATTTAAACTGGGTCTCCAACTGGGCCCAAACCAGAATCAACCCAGACTTACTTAACTTCACATTATATTCCATCTGTTTTTATGGGAGCCTCTTAGATTCACTAGAGCAGACTTCTACTCACCTATGACCTGCAGCTTTAGCTTCAGCTTGTCTCTTTCTTCAGTTATCTCATGGGTCCTGCTTTCAGTGACTGCAAAATATAATAATTTAATTAATTAAATCAATTAAATCCAATGTCTCTGTGACTATAATGAACCTTCCATAATGTATTGATAAAATTGTATATTCAGAGTACTCTTTGCTCTTCTCTCACTGCTTTTGCTTATAGATTTGAAGATTACAAGACAGCAGAAAATTTTTATAAAAAAACAAAAAAAACCTGTTGGCTAGTACAAGTCAGCGTAAGAGGCTTGTTTAACAGAACAAATCAACTCATCTGTTGTAATTTAAACTGAGTCGGGTATTTCTGGTCAAACTGTTGAACCAAAGCTCAGATTACAGTCAAACAAAACTCAGAAAGAGCAGTGCCTAGAGTTAGCATCACATCCCCAGGGAATGACATCTGACCTGTAAAGTAGCAATGAACTTTCTGCTGATCTATGTGAAACACAAACTGTGACCCACACAATCATGCATGCCATAATGTCTTGAGATGTGGGGACATAGGTTTATGAACAGAGGTGGGTATTCTTCAGTTACATTTACTCAAGTTACATTTACTTGAGTCATTAAAAAAAAAAAAACATTGTACAGCAGTGTACTTTTACTCCTGCTTGAGTAATAAATTGAACAACATAGCAGCTGTGGTTTCTCTTCTCACTGTGAGTCTGTAAGTGACAAAAGCTTTATGCTGAGTGTATGACCTGATTCTTCACCACTTCTTCACAAATTATTTAGTTTTTCTCAGTTTTTGTGTCTTTGAAATACTTGTTTTTCTGCATTATGTCATTAATGTTTTGTTCTTCCATTTACATTAACTTTAAATAATAAACTTGTACATATATATATAAACGGACATAGCTAATGTGCTAGTCGCCGCATTCCAAACTCTTCCGTCTCCTACTGATCCTGGCTCCCATTGATCTACATTAGAATATCGTAGACCCTCTTTGGTCTTAAATTGTTTGTATATGTATCGGGCCTTGTTGGCTTGTGGGACTCTTTAGGCAGCTGACGGGCACCGAAGGGCCAAGCGTGCTGCAGTCCATGCGGTCGTGGAGGCAAAAACTCTGAGCTGGGAGGAGTTCTTGGAGGCCATGGAGGAGGACTATCGGACGGCCTCAAAGAGATTCTGCCAAACCGTCCGGCGCCTCAGGAGGGGGAAGCAGTGGTTCACCAACACTGTTTACAGTGCGCGGGGAGAGCTGTTGACCTTGACTGGGGATGTTGTCGGGCAGTGGAAGTAATACTTTGCAGATCTCCTCAATAACACCGTCATGTCTTCCGAAGAGGAAGCCAAGGCTGGCGACTCGGAGGCGAACTCATCCATGACCCTGGCGGAAGTCACTGAGGTGGTTGGCAAGCTCCTTGGTGGCAAGGCTCCGGGGGTGGATGAGATCTGTCCTGAATACATTAAGTCTCTGGATGTTGCGGGGCTGTCTTGGCTGACACGTCTCTTCAACGTCACGTGGCGTTCGGGGACAGTACCTCTGGACTGGCAAACCAGGGTGGTGGTCCCTCTGTATAAGAAGGGGGACCGGAGGGTATGTTCCAACTACAGGGGAATCACACTTCTCAGCCTCACCGGTAAGGTCTATGCCAGGGTACTGGTGAGAAGAATCCGACTGATAGTTGAACCTCGGATCCAGGAGGAGCAGTGTGGTTTTCGTCCTGGCCGTGGAACACTGGACCAGCTCTACACTCTCCATCGGGTGCTTGAGGGTTCATGGGAGTTTGCCCAACCAGTCCACATGTGTTTTGTGGATCTGGAGAAGGCATTTGACCGTGTCCCTTGTGGTGTCCTGTGGGGGGTGCTCTGGGAGTATGGGGTTCAGGGCCCTTTGCTAAGGGCTGTCTGGTCCCTGTATGACCGGAGCAGGAGCTGTGTTCGCATTACCGGCAGTAAGATGTTCCCAGTGCATGTTGGACTTTGTCACGGCTGCACTTTGTCACCGGTTCTGTTCATTGTATTTATGGACAGAATTTCTAGGTGCAGTCAGGGGCCAGAGGGGGTCCGGTTTGGGGACCTCAGGATCTCATCTCTGCTGTTTGCAGATGATGTTGTCCTGTTGGCTTCATCAGGACCTGCAATGTGCACTGGGGTGGTTTGCAGCTGAGTGTGAAGCGACTGGGATCACTGTGTCGGACCATTGTGGTGAAGAGAGAGCTGAGCCAAAAGGCGAAGCTCTTGACAGTCGTCGTCGTCAGTCTACGTTCTTCCCCTCACCTCATGAACTTTGGGTAATGACTGAAAGGATCCTGATCCTGGATACAAGTGGTCAAAATGAGTTTCCTCCTTGGCTGGGCACTCTCTTAGAGATAGGGTGAGGAGCTCGGTCACACGGGAGGAGCTCGGAGTAGAGCCGCTGCTCCTCCATGTCGAGAGGAGCCAGTTGAGGTGGCTCTGACATTTGTTCCGGATGCCTCCTGGGCGCCTACCTCAGGAGGCGTTCCGGGCATGTCCCACCTGAGGGAGACCTCAGAGAAGACCCAGGACACACTGCAGGGACTATGTCTCTCGGCTGTCCCCCCCGGGGGATCTGGAAGACATGTCTGGAGTGAAGGAAGTCTGGGAGTCCCTGCTTAGACTGCTGCCCCCACAACCCGGCCCCGGATAAGCAGAAGAAAATGGATGGATGTTTGTATTAACCTACTCTACATGATCCTGTTGTTTTTAATTCACTGTTTTTTCTGTCAAAAAAAAAAAAATATATATATATATATATATATATATATATATATATATATATATATATATATATATATATATATATATATATATATATATATTCATAAATATAGAGCCTGGCTCCAAATTCGCTCCTGTAACCATTAGCATCACGAGCTTCACTGAAGTGAAGTCACACTCGCTTACTCCACTTTTTTATACGCTTTAAATTATAAATCAAATGTTACGTCCCAACAGTTAGTATCTAAGTGACTCTTACTTGAGTTGTAGTTTTACACATGTGGGTTTGTGCATCATCTCAGTTGTCTTCATTGGTTCATTAGTGTTGACAGTGACAGCTCAGTCGTCGCCAGGGTAATTTGGAGCTTGTTTTTTGTCCATCTTTGCACAGAGATTCTTGTGACAATCACAAATAGTTTTCATGGAGTAAAGTTTGATGTATTGAGGTCAGTGCTGCTTAGGCTACCCAAAGAGCACAAAATCACATCTGCCTGTGATAAATGAATCTTAGAACTTTTTTTTTTTTTTTTTTTTGATGTGAAGCTTGTGCAATGGGTTCGCTGAGTTCATTGCAGAGTCGGCTGAATAGACTGTGACCCAATCAAACCTGCCCACACATTACACACCACTGTGCCAGTTAACAGAACATTTGAGCAGCATGTGTCTCAAGTTCCTCATTTTACTCACAAGAATGGCTTTTCTGCAGCTCATCTTTTTGCTTTGATAGGTCTTGACGAGTAGTTCGAAGAACTTGTTTTGCTAATTAAGAGTTTTTAGAGTAAAAGCTAAAGAGATGATGTATAATTCCATTTACGTTTCTCAAGTGTGTCCCTCTCAGCAGTTACATTGTCACATGGGCTCATGTCGATGTCTGGAGGAAGGTCTACAAATCCAAAATTGATTTATTGTTTTGTGACTGTGATTATTAATATTGTTTGACTTCATTATGTGACTCACAAAGATGTAAATAAACATTGAGAGAAGCTTGTATGATGCACAGAAGACCAAAGCTGATGCAGACCAGGAGAATCCATTTCCCTACGAACAAAATGTTAAAAGATCAGAGAGGAAAGAACATTTTAATGGTCCTATATTACATAAATTTGAGCTTTAAGCCATGTTGTTTCCTCATTATAAACATACTTAAAATTGTGTTTTGTTTCATTCACACACAGGACAGCACCTTTGGGAACAGGCTGCTGTCCCACACACATCCCTTTAACTGATAAAAGCAAAAGGATGAACTGCTATGTTGTTATGTTTGTTTCATTGTTGCTACTGCTGAAATTTAAATTTCCTCAGTAAAGTCTCTATCTATGTTTGAGTGAACCTGAATCATTAGTTTACATCTCCAAAGCTCCAAATGCTCCGTTCCACCTGGTGATGTCGTGGGAGTTTTCATCTTAACAGCTCCTTTTACCTTTAGTTCAGTAGAGATTGACAATTCCAGGTCTGAAATCATCTAGATTTACTCTAGTGAAGGTGTATGGAGATTAAAAACACATGACATCACAAGGTGGACCAGATTTTGTTTGAGAGAAGAACTCATCTTAAATATGCAGCATTTGTGTGTTAAATATGTGTGAATGAAACAAAATTCAACTGTATGTTTTTGATGAGGATACAACATTATAACAGATCAGAAAATACAGTAATATGAGCCTTTTAAATAAAGTCTTACCTGGTTCGGTGGCAGTCTGTGAATCAGAGACACTTCCAGAGTTTCTCCTGTTCCTTCTGGCATGAACCCTGTGCTCCTCCATCTTCTCTCTGCAGACTCAGTTCTGATGTAAATGTGAGCTGGAGCTCTGCAGCACAGAGCTTTTGTGCATTACTTATAGGACAATGACGTGTTTTTTCTTGTGGTTTTTCTGGTTCCTCATTTTTTTTCAAAGTGGATAGTGGCATTTAGCAGTAAATTACATCACTCAGAGAGGTGCATGCTACAACAGACCTAACAAGAATCACTTTTAGTATCTCCTTAGACAAATTAAAGTTCAATTATCATGATTGATTTTCAAAACATGCAACAATTTTCCATTGCACTTGTGAGTAGCAAGAATTACATGCTTCTGCTTCTTTTTTCTTCTTTTATTTAAAACCATAACTTCCACTTCAGACAATAACTTCTTTATAGTCTTACTTTAAAAAATGAGATATGTAAAGTGTACTCTGCTTTATTCTTGTGCTCATTAGATTGAAATTCATATTTGAAATTATGATGTCAAAGCTTGTTTATGAATCTTGTTACATTTAATCTGTTGAACCTTAAGATGAAATAAAATGCTTATATATCATCAGGGGGATATGTTTTTTCACAGATACATTACATTTTGATATCACAGGGAAGGCCATTCCAGATGGATGTTGAATCTTTAAAGTTCAGTTCACCACAGTCTTCATTTATGACATTGTTTGTCTCCCCAGGAAACCAAAATCTGAAATTCAAAGAGCAAAATGTTATGTGCTATTTATTGTTAGGCTGATGTTGTTCATAACATCTGTGTGACCTTGTAGTGACCAGTGAGCCACCAGTCAGTGTATATTATTTAACTGTTGTGTGGGAGCATGAGTGATGTAGGCTTGTCTCTTCACAAATATTTGAACTTATTGCTATTTTTGGGGTATGAGTTTTCTGAGCTGGCATGTACCACCGTTACGTAATCAGAGTACAAATTATGAGTAACTGTATTCCGTTACAGTTACTGTTTCAATGAGTGGTAATTGGATTACAGTTACTTTGCTGAAATAAGTGGATTACAAGGCGGTATTTTCCTGTTTTCACATTTTGTGCTACATCCCATTTATTTATTTTTTATTTCGGTAATTCCACTCATTGCCGGAAACCCAAACAAAACGTGGCAATAAGAGCGATGTAAACGTCATGTTAAAGTTGGCGGTGTCAGTCACATAATGGAAGCAGCAGTGCACTGGTAAAAACACATTTGTGTCTTGGAAATTCTTCTTCCGATGTGAGATATATATATATATATATATATATATATATATATATATATATATATATATATATATATATATATATATATATATATATATATATATATATATATAAAACAAATATAAAATCGCCTACAACTTAAATGTGAAACAGGAGCTACTGGCACTGGTGAAAACAACCTGCATAGACTCACAAACACACACAAACACACACAAACACACACCATCATCATCGTCATCAACCTGAGAACCCGCGGATCACGTTTCCTTCGATTGTTACTGCGCGGACACCAGAACTAAAAACCGGGACTAAACCAGTACTAAACCAGGACTAATCTAGGACTAAAGCAGGACTAAAACCAGGTCTAAACAACATGACACCTAACAGTAGGTTGACATAATTTAAGGTGATCTCATATAAAAAATAATTTCTCTATCAATAATATTTTTTAATATGGTTAAGGAAAGGCTTATCTTGTTACTGTCTTTTAACGGACAAAACCTCTTATATTAAGATGTCGTGGTCTGTGTTTCTCTACAGCAAACAGTTGCTTATTCATGGAGACTTGGGCTCAGACAATTTGAAGACAACAAACATGAATTCTGAGGATATGGTTGCTACATTCATGTCGTTTAAAAAAAACATGACAATATCAAGTAATCCAAAGTAATCAGATTACGTTACTCATTTTAAGTAATTTAATGGATTACGTTACAAACTACATTTTGGGGTGTGTAATCTGCAATCTGTAGGGGAATACATTTTAAAAGTCACCTTCCCAACACTGCCAGTTAGTACCATTAGCGGTGCATTACATATGTCACGACCAAATAGCAGCGATTGGTTAAATTAAAAAAAAAGTACCCACCTACCGTCGAGCAAACGATTTCTAACACTGCAAGGTCAGACAGTTTCTACGAAGTGAAACCGGCTAATGACTAAGGCTAACATGTACTGCTATATGAAGTAACTTTTCTCTGATTCTAGTACAATTTTTGGCTACTCTACCTCAGTTTGTGGAAACATAGAGAATATTTTTATCAGATATGATGATGCAGTACACTGTCACATACACAGCATCATATTAACATTACTATTTCACCAAATCATAGTCAGCATAATCAAAGTGAAGATTCAGCAAAAACTCTTTGCTAGATTGACAGTTTTGGAGAATTACACATTTTTTCTGCCAGTTTAGACATGGAGAGCTGGTTTAAGAGCAAGAGGAAGGAGAAAAAGAAGGGAAGAAGTCTAGTTATAAATACTACTGTATATATATATATATATATATATATATATATATATATATATATATATATATATATATATATATATATAATATATATATATATATATATATATATATATATACATATAATATATATATATATATACACACACACATTTTACATTCTCTTTACATGCATACATTAGAAAGAAGCAATCATCACCCAAATGGAGGAGGCTGAAGCAACTTCTTATGAGCACCTACTCCCATACAGTTTCTTATTTACAGCAGTAAAACTTACAAGCTGGAACACTTTACAAAATAAGACACTCCTTTCTTATAAAATACATCAGTTTAGTTTTCAATGTTGTGACTGGTTATTCTCCAAACAGAGGCCCGTGTACACTACTTTCTGTCAATTTGTTTAGGTGCAGTGTTGGGAAGGTTACTTTTGAAATGCATTCCTCTACAAATTACATACCCCAAAATTTCGTTTGTAATGTAATCCATTAAATTACTTAAAGTGAGTAATGTAATCTGAATACTTTGGATTACTTGATATTGTCGTGCTTTTTAAAACTACATGAATGTAACAACCACATCCTGAAAATTCTTGTTTGTTCTCATCAAATTGTCTGTTGAGCCCAAGTCTCCATGAACAGACATTTGTTTGCTGTAGAGAAGCAAAGACTAGGAAATCTTAACATCAGATTATTTGTCTGCTAAAAGACAAAATCTTTCCTTAAGCATATTAATATTATTGATAGAAAAATAATTATTATATGAGATCACTGCTGCCTTAAATTATGTCCACCGTACTGTTAGTGTCATATTGTTTAGACCTGGTTTAGACCTAGTTTAGTCCTGGTTTCAGTCCTAGTTTAGTCCTGGTTTAGACCTGGTTTTAGTCCTAGTTTTAGTCCTTTTAGTGGTTTAGACCTGGTTTAGTCCTGGTTTAGTCTTTTTTCCTGGTTTAGACCTGGTTTAGTTTTAGTCCTGGTTTAGTGGTTTAGACCTGGTTTAGACCTGGTTTAGACCTAGTTTAATCCTGGTTTTAGTCCTAGTTTAGTCCTGGTTTAGACCTGGTTTTAGTCCTAGTTTAGTATTGATTTTAGACCTGGTTTAGTCCTGGTTTAGTCCTGGTTTAGACCTGGTTTAGACCTGGTTTAGACCTGGTTTAGACCTGGTTTAGTCCTGGTTTAGTAGACCTGGTTTTAGACCTGGTTTTATTTAGTTTAGTACTGGTCCTGGTTTAGACCTGGTTTAGTCCTGGTTTTAGACCTGGTTTAGTCCTGGTTTAGACCTGGTTTTAGTTTTAGTCCTGGTTTAGTCCTGGTTTTAGTCCTGGTTTAGACCTGGTTTAGACATAGTTTTAGTCCTAGTTTAGTCCTGGTTTAGTCCTGGTTTTAGACCTGGTTTAGTCCTCGTTTTAGTTATAGTTTAGTCCTGGTTTTAGACCTGGTTTAGTCCTGGTTTAGACCTGGTTTAGACATGGTTTTAGTCCTAGTTTAGTCTTGGTTTTAGACCTGGTTTAGTCCTAGTTTAGACCTGGTTTAGTCCTGGTTTTAGTCCTAGTTTAGTCCTAGTTTAGACCTGGTTTAGACCTGGTTTTAGTCCCAGTTTAATACTGGTTTTAGTCCTGGTTTAGTCCTGGTTTAGACCTGGTTTAGACCTGGTTTAGACCTGGTTTTAGTCCTATTTTAGTCCTAGTTTGACCCCAAAGCAGAGGAGGCTCAGTTCAGCAGTTCAACTATGTATTCAGCAGGTGTGCATCAGAGTGCCTTAAATAATGTTAAGTCCTTCTGTGTGCTGTGCCTGTCTTGGCTGCTCCCAAATTGGATGAGCTATTCAAGATCCATGTTGAAGCGGCCTGGTATTTTTCCAAAAGTTTCACTGATTATTACTGACTATTCAGTGAAAAGTAGGAGCTGTTTAAAATTTTTTCTTAAATTATTTTTTTGTGAAATAAATGCACTTGGTTGGACACTGGAAACTCTCTCTGTCCTTATACTGCTAAAATTACTGTGCAAGCTAAACTCTGGGGCGGGGCGAGTGTTACGGGAACAGTCAGTCCCGTCTACATCCTGATTGAATCTAGTGTGAAAAATCACTGTCCAAACTTTTCTTCTCTCTATCAAATGTGGAAGACACCTACTTAAAAATTCTTATAATATTCTGAACAAAATATAACTTGTTTTACATGAGATAAATAAGAGACTTGGGCTTAGACAAACTTTATTGATCCACAAGGGAAATAACTTGGACACAGGAGCTCACACATTACAGTATATTAAAGAGAAAAAATTTAAACAAACGTGATAATAAATTCTAAATAAAAATAAAATAAAATAGCAAGCAGCAAGCCCCCATGTGTATTTTGACACAGACAATGCCTTTTTAAATCCTCAGACCTTAAAAATTTGCTAGAATGGATCAGCAGAGTGTTCCGATTGCAACCTGCATCTGATGAAGAAAATCAAATCAAGTAAGATCCTGGTTTGTGTGTTTTTGTGTGTGCAGCTCAGAGAGGCTTTTTCTCCTCCACCACCAGGGGGCATCAGTGTATTGAGCCACACGAGAAAGAAAAGAGCACCACTACAGCACCAGGGAAGTGAGTGTGTGCATGCCCCAATTATCCAACTGACCTACCAGGCCAAATCCAATCAGAACAAACTTTCACTTTTACAATTCTCCTATTTTTTTATGTTATTGGTCACATATAATATCAATTATTAGAATAAAACACGATTATCAAATAAAATTATACGTACATGGGTTGGTGTATAAAAGAAATCAGTCATTGGCTAAAAAGTGTCCCTCTTCCTGTGACTCTGGGATAGTTTTGTTGTCCATTGTAAGTTAAAGCTATGATTTGACTAAATCTGATGTTTTATTGTGCAAACATTTTATGAGATCATGTGATTTATAAAATATTGTTATTTAAACTGTATTTAAACTAATGCAGAGTGTAGTATAATGAAGGGACATGATGAAAGAAGAAACAGAAAAAGTACAAGATAATGAAAGGAATCTACAACAAAGCATAAGATCCACAGTCACTATAAAACCGTTCATAATAAAAGCTTAGTTCAGAGTTATATTATAGAATCAGTATCTTAATGTTTTTTCACAGATGCATTTCAGTTTTTTATTGCAGGTACAATCATTCCAGTTTTGCAACCCACCACTAAAGTTCAGCTCACCGCAGTCTTCATCGTATTTATTATCTGGCTGGTCTGGATCCCAAAATCTGAAATTCAACATAAATAATGTTATACATTAAGTTATGTTTTTGTTTTTTTTATGACTTATATCATAAGTTTATAGGAACCTTAGGGTCAGTCGTGAGCCATCCACCCATTTCCACACCCCCTCCTGCTCCAGGTCAGTCAGTCCAATCCATCTGCGCTCCTTAAAAGTTGAATATGCAAATTCCTTTAAAAGAACATTAGTATTATTTTACAGTGGACATATGCAGTGTATTTGTTGTTAACAGTTTAGACATTTTTTGAGTGCCCTCAGAATAGCATTTTACATTTTAAAATGAAAATAATATCTATGTTTGTAACAGTTTAGTGGGTTTGTGATTGCACTCTACAGACATTCACATGCATTTTGCTAGCAGCAGTGGGACTGGACACTGAAATAAATGTATTCATGGTAAATACAGTTGAAATTTGCTAACTCTCAGAAGAACAACTTAAGTGATGGTTTATTAAATTATAAACTGTTGGGGAACTTCCAGGTTTCAGACACAGTTATTGGGCAAAAGTCATTTTCTGCGAGAAACAACAGTGTATGAATAAAATGATGAAGTAACAGCACTATAATAAGGCTTAAAGCTCAAATCACATTATCAGTACAATTGTCCAGACCTGCTCCTGGACACTGGTGATGACGGTGAGATCTGCTCCTCTCTGCTGACAGTACAGCCTGCTCTCCTGCCAACTCTGCTCTGTGCTGGAGCCCAGGTACAAACTTCCTTGGAAATACACCCAACCTTCGTGGGAATGATTATCTGGAAATACAAATGATGTATATAATATATATTTCTTTACTGGCAAGAGACTAATTCCTATTCAGTGAACCAGGTACACATATGCATCATGGCAATAGAAACAAAAAAATATACCACACCACACCCCTCCCAGACATTTTAAGACCAACATGATGAGACTCACTGCAACAGTTACAGAGAGAGTGGTGACAGTATTCCACTGGAGCCAGGGTCAGAAGGAGCTGGAAGCACCTCTGTGAACACTTATGGTTAACTATGTCCATTTATATACACAGTCTATGTATTAAATTGGGGACAGATCCATGGTTATGAAAACAAATAACAGATTGTTTCCTGATTTTTTATTTCACTTTGAGACTGGGGAACATAAAACCACCAACAGCAGTCCATTTGGGACTATAACCCTGTCCCGTACTGACCCCATAGAAACAAGGTTTATGTGCTCTTATACTTGTACAGCTCAAGATCATTCTAAAGCTGTTTCCCCTATGTATGATTTATTGCATGATTTGCATTGAATTTCGTATATGGCATTGCATTTTTGTTCTTGTGGGATTTCGTCCTTGGGGTGTACGAGCTGTTGGCGGAGTTTTGTGTATGGTTTTACTACAGTGCTAATGTTGTGTTTTTTCATGGCTCTCTGGATGGGTTCGCTTATGCCTCTGATGTATGGTAGTGTGACTATGTTCTTGTGGTCCTGCTGCCCTGTGTTGGATTGTTGTGTTTTTTTTCCGGGGTTTGTTGGTTTTATTGATAACTTGTTGTTTGCCTTTGTTTATGGCCCAGCTGGGATATTGACATTGTTTGAGTGTTTGTATGATGTGTCTCTCCTCCTCCTCCCTGTCGGTGTGGTCTGTGACCACAGGCCGGGCATTTCACATCCGAAAAAAGGAACACCAAAGGAATGCGAAAAGGAAACGTCAGGGAGACTCACCAGAACACAAAAAGACAAAGCAGAACAGGAAAACCTAAAATCTGCCATATCAGACCACTGTAAAAGGAACAACCACATTATGGATCGGGACGGGGCTCGGGTCATTGGATCGGAAAACAACAAGTTCAAACGCTGGATCAAGGAGGCCATTGAAATCAGGAAACAAGGCATGGACAGCATTAACCGTGATGACGGAGCGTTCCTCCTTTAACACACCTGGGACACCCTCCTCCAGAGAACACCGGGCGACGGGAGGCGTGGTCAGTCTGAGCGACCTGCCAGGTCCATCAGACTGACCACGCCTACAGGAAGTAACAACAGCTGATATACGACACGTCACCACCAACACCGGTGACAGTTCTGAAGATGGCTTGCAGCTAGCAGCCGAAACATGTCAACAAGGTAAATACACTTTACTGCATTGTCTTTAAAAAGAACCTAAGAAGTTAAAGTATATAAGAAGACAAAATGAACATCATTGGCTTCATTCTAAAGCTATTCAGGACAAACTAATGAATTTATTATAAGATATTTACCACTTGGGCAGACTGTGTACTTACTAAGATCTTGAAGTTTTTGCCTCACTTGCTCTCGTTCTTCAATAACTTGTAGGACTCTGGTTTCCATTACTGGGAGGGGGATGAGGGGGAAGAGGTTATTACTATCAAAATTCATTCTATTCTCTGTATCATTTTACTTACAAAGAATATTGTTTTTCAAGTATCGTAATTCTTTTGCCTCCTCCAACAATTTCTTCAGGTCACTTTCACTGATTTGTTGCATTTTGGTTTCGCAGTCTGGAAGAAAATGTCATTTGTAGCTGGTGTAAAAAAAAATACATCAATGTTGGATCTACCTTAAAACATTTTAAAATGCTACTTGCCAGAAAAAGTACTGTTCTTCTCTTGCAGATTCTCCAGACAGGTTTGATTTGCTTCAAGAGATCAGATTATTCTCTTTATTTCACATCATTTCCATCATGTCATTTTTAGTAATTAAGTATAGGACAAGATCTCGCAAGACAAAATTGCCACAAGATTGCACACACATAAGGAAAATGTCGTTAGATTATTTTTTTTCCATGTGTGTTTGCATTTGGATTGGACAAAAGTGCTGGTGAGTTACACCTCTTGAGAAGCTGAAGTTTCAGTTCATTAAATAAAATTTTAAAAGCCTGAGGACAAAACTGTAAACTGAACTGCACAATTTAGTTATTTTAAATCATTTCAAAATCTCATCTTGTCTCGTTCCCGCTGACCCAATATCAGGTCTCATCTTGTGGAAATTGTGTCTCTTCCCACCTCTAACAAAAATATGATGTATTTTACTGACAAATATTGCGTCCGTGGAAGTCATCAGTTCCTTTCTCTGGGTCACGGTGAACTGTTTGAAAACACTTTCAGTCAAAATCCCCACAGTCAGATGAAATGACATGAAATGAACTTACATTTCACAAACACATCGCTCTCGGCCAATGCATGTTCACACCTTAAGTCATACCCTGGAAATGATTTGTATTCATATGATTATTATGATGATTATTACATTAGAAAGGTTCATTTTGTTTTCTTAAATAGTAGAATAATTTCATTGTTATGTTCATCTATATCAGACAATAGGAGACAACGTGTTACTTTGGAGATTCTCCAGTCGGTGGAAAGCTTAAGACAACCTTGCCCATAACTTTCTCTTAATAGACATTAATGTTTCTATATTACACAAAATGTACTCTTGTGAGCTTCTAGCCATGTTATAATGCTGTTACCTAATCAAAACATACCCGGAGTTGTGTTTTGTTTCATTCACACATGTTTGAGTAACCCTGTAATTAGTGTGTCTACATCTCCAATGCTTAAAATGCTCTGTTCCACTTTTGTAGTGGTAGTTTTTAAGTTAGCTGATACTTTTTACTTTGTTCAGTAGAGTTTGGCAATTCCAGATCTGAAATTATCCAAATGATTCTAGTGAAGGTGTATGAAGTTTAAAAACAAAATGGAGCACTTTCTGTATTATCACATGACATCACAAGGTGGAATAGAGTGTTTTTTTGTTTGAGAAAGACACTATCAGAAAATAGTGTGATACCTTTTAAATTCATCTCTTTCCTACTTGGTCTAGAAGTAAAAAGTTTGGACATACTTTTTCAATTGTTTTCTTTCTTTTCTTTTTTTTTCCCCCCATGAGTATTTACATTGTAGATTCTACCCAAAAATAACTCAAAACCTGTTTTAGATTTCTTAAAATAGTCACCCTTTGCTTTGATCACAGCATTGCACTCTTTGAATTTCTTCACACTGACAAGTTACACAGGATATAATGCAAAGAGATAGGACGTGAGGCTCGACTCACACAGACACACTTTCACTGCTTCTCCTTTTAAACTCATCAGATATATTTGTAGATTTTATATTTTTATTTGTTTTTTTTTTTTTTGAGTGCTTTGTGTTCTTATCGTCAGGACAAATAACCTTGACATGAGGGAGCACATTTAATGAGATATTGTATGACCAGAGCCAAGGTGAGGATAGCCTCTCACTCTGTCTCTGCACAGTGCGTCTATGAGTAATTTATATTGGCTGTATATATATTTTTCTTTCTTCCCTTGTTCAATTATAAACAAAATAATTAATTTCAATGTTTTTATTAGGAAATGTCATATGTTTGTAAAGAAAATAAGCAACTTGGTGCAATTCAGTGGCTATCAACTTTTTTGAGCCTACAGTTGCCTCGCAGCTGTAAACCTCACCGCACGTCACTGACAAAGGGCAGATACCTTTAGCCATTATAATTGAACTTTTTTTATTTGCCGCATAATTTCATATATCTGATGTTTTCTAAAATGTAGAAATGATTAAACGTTTTAAAAAATAATAATAATACAAAGATGTGGCTAAACTTTTGACTGATAGTGTTGATGAACCATTTTTACTACACCAAGAAATTAAGACAAGGTTGTGTTAAAGCTGTCTGGCCTATTGGTGAGACTGGAGAATGTACATATGCACGGCACCAAAGGTTAGTCTCCACTTCTTACCCACTAGGGGTGTGCAAAAATACCAAATATCAAAATATTGATATATCATATATATATATATATATATATATATCGATATATCGATATCATGGGTTGCTGTATCGATATATATCACCAAGAGTATTTTTTGGTGTATTTTACTAAATGATTTGGTTACAGCTACAGTTTTGTTGTTTGTTTAGTGAAAAGAAACTCATTTATGCAACAAATTTGACATTTTCATTGTTTTGATGAGTAAAATCAGTGTGTTTTATATTAACTTTGCATAAGAAGTGATTTAACAAAGACTTTTAGTATCACAGCCATGATTTAGTCTTTATTTTTTATTGAACCGTATTGAGTCTATTTGAAATATATATATCGACTCGAAAGTGCACGGTATCGAGATATGTATCATATCGTGGCCTATGTATCGAGGTATGTATCATATCGGCAACTTCTTAATGATACCCAGCCCTATTACCCACTGTGTCTGATGTAGATGAAATACTAAAAGATTATTCTTGAATACTCACCAACTCGCAGGTATATGTTGACCGTTTGTACAATGCAAAGAAAACCAAAGCAGATGAAGAACAGCCCGATCGTTTTCCCTTCAAAAACAGAATGAATATCAGAGATGGTACATTTACTCGGTTACTTCTCGAAGTACTTTTCTAGCAGCATACGTTCACTCCTAGGTAATACTTTTACTTGAGTAAAAGTCGTGCTTCCTCTTCCCATTGTAAGTCTACAAGTGACAAAAGCCTGAACATTTGTGTTTTTCCTTCAGATATTATTTAGTTTGTGTCTTTTGAAAATAGATTTTGTGCATTATTAAATACTTTGTCCTTCCAATTACCTTTACTTAAAATTTAAATCAGCAGTTACTCAAGTTGCCCTTAGTTGAGTAGTAGTTTTACTCTTGAGCAATTTTTTTGTACATCTACTTGAGTAATATTATTTTAAAGCAACATTACTCTTACTTGAGTACTATTTCTGGCTACTCTACCCACCTTTGATGAATACACAGGAGCAAAATCTTCAAATCAAATCTTCACATAGTAAAAATGAGGATAATAAAAAGTGTCTTACTTGACTGTGTGTCTGTGTCCTGAGTTTGAGCAGGACGTGAGTACCTTCTGCCTCTGACCACAGCGTCCTCCATCCTGTCCTCACTGCAGCACACAGAGGATCCTGCTGGAGCTCTTGGGGTGGTACATGTTATGAAATGACTGGTCGGTCTGTGTTGTCATATTGAGGAAACTGGCACTGCCCAGGAAATAGAACTGCAGCAAAGAAAGTAGGTAAGTAAGTAAGTCCCCATTTATATAGCGCTTTTCACAGACATTTTTGTCACAAAGACGCTTTACAGGGCATTACATTGAGCATATATATTATTCATTCACTCTATACCTGGTGATGGTAAGCTACTGTTGTAGCCACAGCTGCCGTGGGGCAGACTGACAGAGGCACAGCTGCCATGCCAATCGGCACCAACGGTCCCTCCGACCACCACCATCACTCACGTACACACCACTTTCATTCTAGGCAATGTGGGTGAAGTGTCTAGCCACTAGCACCAGTGTCCTGGACAGGTTCATTGATTGATTGTACTTAATTGACCTTGACTATTAACTGTTCTTGGAGACCTATGTAGCATGTTTTGGGTTGATGGGGGAAACCGGAGCGCCCGGAGAAAACCCATCCAGACACGAGGAGAAACATGCAAACTGCACACAGAAAGGCCCGGGCGACTGGAACCTTCTTGCTGTGAGGCTTGAGTGCTAGCCACTCAGCCACCGTGCTGCCAAGGCTCTGAACCTAATTTTAACCTCTTAAAAATGAGGAAAACACAACTAGTTCATTTTAAATAGTGGTTCAAAATTATTCCTCACTTTTTTAATATATTCAGAGCATCCTAAATATTCACCATGATAAGTTCTGAAAAGTGTTTGACAACTTTCAAGAGGCAAGGCAAGTTTTACTGTAACTACAATGCCAGGGCTAAGAGGATTTCTCTAGTTAAACATAACTCTGATTGAAAGTTGCTCCGTGTAATACTGTAGTAACATATACAATTGGAAACAGTGATCTACATAACTAAAGATAGTGTTTTCCCTGTGTGTAATTCATGTACAATCATTGTGGACTTCAGATAGAGCCTTCAGTTATATTTTGTTTTGTCGTGATTACGTTACTGAAAATGTCCAGGAAAATAATCACATGCAAAGTGTTGGATTTGGAGTAGAAATCAAATGTCAGAGAATGAAATTCTGACTATTTTTGGTCTTAAATGTCAATTATTAAAAGACTATTTTTATTTTTTGTGTTTGACATTTGTGTTGTCTTTTATCTGATAGCTGATTTGTTTCCTGTGAAGCACTTTATGTTACATCACATATGTATGAAAAGTGCATAATATACAAATTTGATTGACTGATTGAAAGCTCAGTCGAATGGGCAAGATGTTTTCAGTAGAAGACTTTGCACAGCACACTTTGAACTAGAACCTTGTTTTGTTTTGGGGTTTTTTTGTTTGTTTTTTTATTAATCACCCTGTGGCATCTTTGATTTTATGTCTGTATCTGTTTTTTGGTATAGCCTCAAGAGGAAGTATATGATGTAAAAGAACTGCAGATAGCACAGTTTTTGTGTTTTCCGCTCCTATATATCAGCGACACATCTAGGCCACAGCCATGTCAGACATGTTCAGTGTGGCATTCACTTTGTTTCATTTAAAGGGAGATGCTACAGGCTCATTTTGTATTTGTGTTTTTTTCAGCTGCTTGTTATTTGTATTTTTGCAGACCTGTTCAAAAAGTGCACTTTGTTCAACTTCTTGCTACACTGTTCCCATATTTAATCCTTTTTGAAGAATAATTAGCTGCGATTTATTGTGATTAATCAAAATTCTAAAGTGTAATTAATGCCTTAAAATTGCATCGTTTAACAGCAATAATAATAATTCACACAGTCTAACGTGACCATAGGTCAGGGTCACATTAGATGTCACGTTCCTCCCCTCACCTATGGTCATGAGCTTTGGGTAATGACCAAAAGGACAAGATCGTGGATACAAGCAGCCAAAATGAGTTTCCTCCGCAGGGTGGCTGGGTGCTCCCTGATAAGGTGAGGAGCTCAGTCACACGGGAAGAGCTTGGAGTAGAGCCGCTGCTCCTCCACGTCGAGAGGAGCAGCTGTGGTGGCTCGGGCATTTTTTCCGGATGCCTCCTCAAGATCCCAGAAGCTGAAATGCAAGTACAAGTACGCAGTTCATAAAGAAATGGCATTTCTGTGCTAGCTCCAAACTGCCAGCTCAGTCCTTGTAAAGCTTGGATTATACTTTGGCAGTGTCAGTCTGTGCAGCACATACAGGAGCTGACAGTACACATCAAAACGAGCTAGTAGAGTATCTTTCACATGCTCATAAATTTTCTCAAGGCATCGACACAGAAATTTGGACAGGTACGGATGTGTCTCAAAAAATGAAATAAATCAAACAATATCTCAACCTACATCATCAGAGGTATAATACTCCCTACAATGTGAGCATGGCCGGACTGGACTAAACTGAACTGGATCCTATACAAAGCTCAGCCCACAAGCCTACATTCTGCACATCACGTTTCCATAAATATGTGCGTAACACTGTTAGAGAGAAAGACAACCAGGAAGACCAAACAAAAACATGGTCAATATTATGGTAAATAACTACTAATACTAGGATATTTCACCAAACACAAGATGGTGAAATATCCTAGGGTTAGTAGTATGCTAAAGCTACACACGCGGAGATGAGAGTTTGAGTGGAAGTGGGTCTAAAATTAAATTAGCTCCACAGTCTCTGTCCAGAGCCGTGGTTCCGGCAGACTGACTTGAGTTCATATGAGGCTCTGTTCTCCAGGGTCTTGGTCCTACACAAACACATCATGTCCATTTAACACTATTATGGTCTGTTGGCTTAACACTATTGTATCACATAGAACCAAACCAAACATTTATTTTTTTTACGTTTATTTATTTTACATTTCTATACTTTTTTGTAATAAAACAAACATATTTTGTCTGTTTCATTTTGACCACCACCAATAATATTAACCTTTTTTTGGCCCCAATACTACTACTACTATCACTGTGATGAAACACACACAATGTGGATAAGTCATTTTATGTATGAGTAAATATTGATATGAGCCTTAAATATCAGCCTCTTTTCGCAGATATACAGAAGCTTTGTAGAACATTTCAGGTCATTCCAGCGCTTCTCGGTGCCATTGACGAAGGTTTCAACACAGAACTCATCATTGTCTTTGTTATTTGGCTCTCCAGTGTGCCAGAAACTGAAAGACATTAAGTAAGAGCTCAAAATCACTTCTGAAACTCAGTGTTGGTTTAAAATGTTGCTGTGTGAACCTTGTGTTGAGCTGAGAGCCGTCCACCCATCTCCACTCTCTAGGTTCAGACTGGGTTGCATTCAGTCCAATCCATCGGTGCCCGCGGAATCTACTCGCAAATGTCTGTAGAAACAGTTAAAGCCACTTTCAGGGATCTTAAGACTTCAACTGTGAGAAACAATCATTTAACCTCAGTAACACAACAGGCTCTGTGCACAACAGCACCCAGTTAGCTCCGGTCTCTGGATTGTGCTAATCAATAAATAGTGACAATTCACACAAAGGACTGCGAGCTGTGGGTGAATGAGACTAACAACATCTACACTGTAATACTTCACCAGGGGACACTTGTGTTTAGAAAGGTCGAGCTTTGTGTCTTAATGTAAATTTCTGAGACGAATACATAGCAAATACAGAAAAATAATCAGGGTTGTCTTTACTACATATTTCATTTTGTTGTTACGTGATTTGACATTTGAATATAAGTTAGCATTAACATCAATCTTAATCTTCTCGCAATAATTGTGGCACAAACAATTTATATTGTGACATCCTTTTTGTGGGAACAGTGTGGTGTTTAGCTCCAGACCTGCTCCTGGACACTTGTGATGATGATGAGATCTCCTCCTCTCTCCTGACAGTACTGCCGGCTCTGCTCCCAACTCTGTGCTGTGGTGGAGCCCAGGTACGCGCTGCCTTGGAAATACACCCAGAGTTCAGATGTGTAGTTATCTGAAAATAGAGATGATACAGACACTGAAGTGAAACTAAATTGGGAGCCGAAAGCCCACCACACACTTCAGGACCTTTGAGTCTTAAATGATTTTTAAATGTGAGACTAAGGGTGCACTCAAACTAGGACTTTAGAACCATGCCCAAGCACGGATCGCCCGTAAAGTGCAGTACGTTTGTCCAGTGTGAACACAATTGAACGGGTCCCAGGCACAGTACGGTTGGGACTTCAGCCTGGGTGGAGGAGGTGGGCAGAAGCAAGGCACAGTCGCTCATGTACGCTTACAGTACACACATGTCTATACGAGCCCTGTCAGATGTGCTGATGTTACTTATACAAGGAAAACTGTGAATAATCTTCTCCAAAAAACACAGTGAATCCACACTTACCTTCAGTAAGGGCTGTGACAGACAGACGGTTAACTGCCTCTCGTCTTCGGCTGTCATCACTGTTCTGGGCTGTTTTTATTTCCCTAAACTCATGGAGGAGCATGTATCAAGCATGTATGTAAAGAAACAGCGTCATGTGATTATGTCATCGGGCTGTGGCCCGGTTCAGTTGTGCACATGTGAGTGCAGAACATAGAACCCTACGCAATTGATCTTGAGCACGACATGATTCTAAAGTCCTAGTGTGAGTGTGCACTAAAAGTGCAGACCAGACATGAGGAGAATCATGTAAGATTTAAAATCTTACTATTTATCTTTAAATCTTATTATTTCTCAAACTATAGCTCAGAAAATGTTTTCCACAAACAAAAAGCTGTCTATAGACACACAGGAAGTATCACTATCTCTAATCTGCAGCATCTTCATCCACAGAGTGCCATCCATCCATTTTCTTCCGCTTATCCTGGGTTGGGTCGCGGGGGCAGCAGTCTGAGAAGGGCCTCTCAGAAATTCTGTCCATAAAAACAATGAACAGAACTGGTGACAAAGTGCAGCCCTGGCGGAGTCCAACATGCACTGGGAAAATTTTTGACTTACTGCTGGCAATGCGAACACAGCTCCTGCTCCGATTAAACAGGGACCAGACAGTCCTTAGCAAAGGGCCCCAAACCCCATACTCCCAGAGCACCCCCCACAGGACACCACGAGGGACATGGTCGAATGCCTTCTCCAGATCCACAAAGCACACGTGGACTGGATGGGCAAACTCCCATGAATCCTCGAGCACCCGATGGAGAGTGTAGAGCTGGTCCAGTGTTACACGACAGGGACGAAACTCACACTGCTCCTCCTGGATCCGAGGTTCGACTATCGGTCGGATTCTCCTCTCCAGTACCCTGGAATAGACCTTACCGGTGAGGCTGAGAAGTGTGATTCCCCTGTAGTTGGAACACACCCTCCGGTCCCCCTTCTTATACAGAGGGACTACCACCCTGGTTTGCCAGTCCAGAGGTACTGTCCCCGAACGCCACGTGACATTGAAGAGGCGTGTCAGCCAAGACAGCCCCACAACATCCAGAGACTTAAGGTACTCAGGACAGATCTCATCCACCCCCGGAGCCTTGCCACCGAGGAGCTTGCCAATGACCTCAGTGACCTCCGCCAGGGTCATGGATGAGTCCACCTCCGAGTCCCCAGCCTCGGCTTCCTCCTCGAAAGACGTGACGGTGGGATTGAGGAGATCCTCAAAGTATTCCTTCCACCGCCGGACAACGTCCCCAGTTAAGGTCAGCAGCTCTCCCGCCGCACTGTAAACAGTGTTGGTGAAGAACTGCTTCCCGCTCCTGAGGCGTCAGACGGTTTGCCAGAATTTCTTTGAGGCCGTCCAATAGTCCTCCTACATGGCCTCCCTGAACTCCTCCCAGCTCCAAATTTTTCCATCTGTGACCACATGGGCTGCAGCACGCTTGACCCTTCGGTACCCGTCAGCTGCCTCAGGATTCCCACGAGCCAGCAAGGCCCCACAGGACTCCTTCTTCAGTTTGACAGCATCCCTTACTTCTGGTGTCCACTACCGGCTTCAGGGATTGCCACTGCGACAGGCACCACAGACCTTATGACCACAGCCGTATTGACAATAGAGGCTGAGAATGAAGCCCACTCGGACTGGGAGAAGTCCTCCTGGAGGTGTGAGTTGAAGATCCCTTTGACAGAGGGCTCTGGCAGACATTCCCAACAGACCCTCACTACACGCTTGGGCCTGCCAGGTCCTTCTGGTTTCCTCTTCCGCCAGCAAATATAACTCACAACCAGGTGGTGATCAGTTGACAGCTCTGCCCCTCTTTTCACCCGACTGTCCAAGACACACGGCCGGAGGTCAGATGACAAGACAACAAAGTCGATCCTCGACCTTCAGCCTAGGGCGTCCTGATGCCATGTGCACTGATGGATACCCTTGTGCTTGAACATGGCGTTTGTTATGGACAAACTGTGATTAGCACAGAAGTCCAATAATAGAACACCGCTCGGGTTCAGATCAGGGCGGCCATTCCTCCTGATCACCCCTCTCCAAGTATCACTGGCATTGCCCACATGTGCATTGAAATCCCCCAGTAGAACATCGGAGTCCCCAGTTGGTGCACTGTGCAGTACCCCCTCCCAGGGACCCATAGGCCGACACAACAGTGAGACACTTGTCCCCGACTCTAAGGCGCAGGGACGCGACCCTCTCGATCACAGGGGTGAATTCCCAACATGTGGCGGCTGAGCTGTGGGGCTACAAGCAGGCCCACACCAGCTCGCCGCCAAAGGATTTGGGTACCAGAGCCCAAGCTGTGCGCAGAAGTGAGCCCAAATATATCTAGCCGGTATCTCTCAACTTCCCGCTCAAGCTCGGGCTCCCCCCCCCCCAGTGAGGTGACACGTCGCCACAGCCAGATGCTGTGTGTGCGGACCAGGCCGTCGAGACACCCGTCCCCAACCACCCCCCAGTCCTCTATGCACCCGACCCCTATGAACCCCTCATTCGAGCCCTAACCCCAGGCCTGGCTCCAGGGTGGGGCCCCAGCTGTGCCATACTAGGGCAACGTCACGGTCCTCGATGTTTCCCAGTTCATAAGAGTATTGTGAACTGCTCTTAGTCTGCACCGTCACCTAGGACCTGTTTGCTATAGGAGACCCTACCAGGGGCGTGATGCCCCGGGCAACATAGCTCCTAGGATCATTCGGGTATGAAAACTACCCCACCACGGTAAGATGGCAGTTCAGGGGGGAGCATCCACAGAGTGGATTTATGTAAACATGACACACATGAGGAAATACTCTCACCTCTATCACTGATGGTTTTTCCTTTTGACCTCTTGTATATTGCTGAGATATTTTTACTACTGATTTCTATTTGATTTTATTGTTACTTGCACATATACATTTGTATAATTATGCCTTATTTGACACCAGTCTCTTGCTATTTTTGCAAATTATTTAGAATTTATTATTAGCATTTACTTTTTTTTTCTCTTTGTCATTATAACATTGTGATTTGTAATTTTCCTTGTGGATCAATAAAGTGTATCTAAGTCAAAGATTGTGGTGACGATATGACGGAGCCACTCAGTCGCACTAACTCCACACATGAGGAGCACAGGGGCCCATGCCTCCCTGAAGTCTGAGAGAAGCAAATGATCCTGTAGTGTGTGGTCCGGCTGAAGGACTAATGCAGGACTAAAACAAGACCAAAACAAATTTAAACTGGGTCTCCAACTGAGCCCAAACAAGGATCAACCCAGACTTACTTAACTTCACATTATATTCCATCTGTTTTTATGGGAGCCTCTTGGATTCACTAGAGTAGACTTCTACTCACCTATGACCTGCAGCTTTATCTTCAGCTTGTCTCTTTCTTCAGTTATCTCATGGGTCCTGCTTTCAAGCACTGCAAAATATAACAATTAAATTAATTTATTAAATCCATTAAATCCAATGTCTCTATGACTATAATGTACTGAAAAGACACTATATTCAGAGTACCTTTGCTCTTCTCCCACTGCTTTTGCTTACAGGTTTGAAGATTACAAGACAATAGAAAATAGTTATAATTATATTACATTGTGTTGTGTTTTGCCCCATAGCCAATAGTCACTTGTTGCGTGACCAAGTGAATGAAACTGACAATTATTCCGTACTGGATAAGAGTAACTCACAACCTGACATTTCAATGCCAGTGTCATAAAGCAGACAGGTTTATTTAACTGGAGGTGATTATAAAAGAGCAAAGAGTTCTCCAACTGATCCGTCTTACTCCTGAATAATTGGTGGCGTCAGACCAAGGCATGCATTATGTTCTCTTTTAACCGTAGCCTATTGTAACTGACAGCCTCTTGTCGGAACTGTCCTCCAATTTTTGTTCTTCACCTTCTCCTCCGTGGGCCGTCTCCACTGGTTCAACTAAATGTGTTCATGGACAGTAACAATGGATGAGTTAATAGTAGTTGGGCCTGTGGAGAAGCAGTAGTGCTGTCAGTCTCCCTTCCAGTGCCCGGTACTGAGTGACGGTTTCTGTAAAAACTTGATATGGGATTTTTTTTTTAAGTTAGTTAGTTAGCGGCTACTTTTTACCTTTAGTTCCGTAGAGATTGGCAATTCCAGGCTGAAATTGTCCAAGTGATTCTAGTGAAGGTGTATGAAGTTTGAAAACACAATGGAGCACTTTCTGTATTACCCCGTGACATCACAAGGTGCAACAAAGGCTATGTTCAGACTGCAGGGCTTAACGCTCAATTCCGATTTTTGTGAAATCCGATGTTTTTCCGAGGTCGTTCACATTTCCAATTAAATGCGACTTGTATGTGATCTCCAGTGTGAACATTAAACTCCCCGAAAGTGTCCCACATGTGCACTGGAGACACGACGACGTCAACCGCAGCGAACATGCTCTGTGTTTACGGAAGCTGTCCAAACATGGACGCGAGCATTGAGCACCTTGCGATTTTAAAGTTCCTCTCGTACTGGAGCCAAAACATGAACAACTTACTTGTTTTAAGGAGGAGATTGAGAAGGAGAAGGACGAGGTTTTTGGCCATGGCGTTTTGTGGGACAGCGGCAGCGACGTCTGTTGAAAGGAACGTGTGGATGTGGAGACGGAGCCAAGAGTGGTGAGTGGTGATGTGCTTCACTTCAGTGACACGGAGTTCATTAACAATTTTCGCCTACTTCAGTGCAGAATAGTGACGTTTGTGGCTTGTTGATAACGTGTAGGTCGAATGAATGCGCTTTGGCCGTTCAGACTGAAGTCGCATGTCAAGAGATCGGATATGTATCGGTTTTAGGACCACATATCAAAGTGTCCTGGGTCGCATTTGAAAAAAATCTGATTTGTGTCATTCAGACTGTCATTAAAAGATCAGATACAGGTCACATAGAGGCCAAAAAATCGGATTTGGGTCACTTCAGGCTGCAGTCTGAATGCAGCCGAAGTGTTTTCTGTTTGATAAAGACACTATCAGAAAATAAAATTTAAATTAAATTAATCTCTTTCCTACTTTGTCTAGAAGTAAAAAGTTTGGACACACTTTTTCAATTGTTTTCTTTTTTTTTTTTTTTTTCCAT